TACTAAATATTTACTGAAGTTTACTTATTGATCAGTTATTGTGTTGCGATAATAAAAATAATACTACCTTATACAGAGTGTCTAAAACTTTATTTTAAATAATTTCTAGCTTTAAACGCCAATAACTTCTTTATTTTAAATTGAACGCCCTGTATATTTTAGGAGAACCAGATGCACAATTTAATTGTCTATCAAATTGTATTATACCATTTTTACCTATCCCTTCAAGTTTTCGTAGAAAATGCATTTTCTTATAATTTAGACCTCATTTATCAATATACCTATGGAATATTGACATTTAATTATTGACACCCATGGAATATTGACATCATATATTGTAGTAATATTATAACATTCTAGTAATATTATCGTTTTGCTAAAAACGATAATGTTGTATGCAACAAAAAACTATTTAAATCTTTATAAAAGAGTATACCATTAATTAAATATAACACCATTATTTCCGCCCATATACTAATTAATTACATACTTAATTGTATTCGTTAATAAATTATTCTAAATAAATGTGGATTTGAGTCAGAAATCAATATAATAATAAGTTATCAAAATTAAAGTCTCTGTTGTTATAAATAAGCATTTATTAAAAAATGAAATATCATTTTTAAGGTGTTACTTTTTATCACACTGTCTAATACCCATACAAAATTGAGTTTTTTAGTATTTGGAGCAATTATTATTAATCAACGCAGTCAGTTAATGTAATTTGAATGCTGGAATCATATTTATTGGTCCTCTTTAACAAATATTTAAACAGTTTTTTTATTTTTTAATGAAATAAACGAATTATATCCACAATATTAGTACCTGTACTCTTTAAAAATTTGGTACATCTTTAAAAATGATCTAAAATGTCAATATTCCATGGGTATATTGATAAATAAGTTCTAAATTACAGAAAATGCATTTTCTACGGAAACTTAAAGAGATAGGTAAAAAATGGTATAATATAATTTAATAGACAATTAAATTGTGCATCTGATTCTCGTAAAATATACAGGGTGTTCCATTTAAATTAAACAAGTTATTGCCGTTTGAAGCTAATAATTATTTAAAATAAATTTTTAGACACTCTGTATAAGGTAGTATTATTTTTATTATTGCAACACAATAACTGATCAATAAATAAACTTCAGTAAATATTTAGTATTAAAAACTTTGGTACCCTTGGAGAAATGAAGCCTTAAAATTTTTATGGCAGTTTCACAAAATTTAAAATATTTCAAAAACGGTAAGGTTTAAGTATAATAAACCTTAATCAAATTTACCTTTATTTTAAAAGTAGAAACTAAAAATGTAATACTATACAGGGTATTCCATTTAAAAAAATATAACTTTGATATTTTTTGTTTAATTGGGACACTCTGTATCTTGTAAAAATATTTTTAAATTGCAGCTCTAATAGTCCTTCAACGAACCCAAAACTTACAATTTGTAAAAATCTAATCGTTTAGCTACAATACTCCGTGTCGTTTTGTTTAATTGGGACACTCTGTATCTTGTAAAAATATTTTTAAATTGCAGCTCTAATAGTCCTTCAACGAACCCAAAACTTACAATTTGTAAAAATCTAATCGTTTAGCTACAATACTCCGTGTCGTATGTGGTGAACAACCCTATTTATTTTTTGCCAATAATAACATGTACTGATTACATTCGAAATATCTTTGAGAACGGTTATTTTTTTTACGTAAAATTTGACGGAAATTTATATTTCTTCACTCAGTAGTTTTACACAGGTACGAAAAAAAGTTGTTACTCTTCAAATCAGTAAAAAACATGTAGGTGGCACCCAAGAACAGTTAACCTAATAGGACTGCTCATTCAGCCAAAAGTGTCTGCCATGTGCATGCGAAAACTCCTCGCTTTGTGACGTCATTGTAGCCCTTGTCATGGTTATTAGTCCTTATCCGGCAACCAATAATACACACACGTGCATTATTGGTTGCCCGGTGCAAAACTTTCATTATTTAGTTTATTTATTTAAACACCTTATATGTATGCAGTATAGAAAATTAACTGTATAAATCGTATTAAATACTCGGATAATGCATTTTTAAGAACAGCAGTTCCCAGCATCACCTTTTGCAGTCATTCTTTTTAGAGTACTTCCATATTTTGCTTTAAAATAATTAATAAATAATATCGTAGGCACTTAGTAAGCACTTTGTCACAATCCACAACACAAAATGAACGTATTTATACACTCTATAGCTCTAAAAACTTTAAAAACACCTTTTTCACATTTAAAATTGACAAAATAATTAACTCAAAATTTCTCAGCTGTTATTTTTATAAGTTTACCATAGGCAACTAATAATACACACAATCATGACAAGGATTACAATGACGTCACAACTGTCAGCTGAAGCGCGGGAAGAGGCGAACGTACGTCTTAAGCTTGTTTCATATAGACGCGAATCGCGAATTGCGATTTTGCGAAACTGCTCTCATTGGTCCAATTTTAATGATCATGCAGCGCTGTCAGAAATTTTAAGATTTTGGCGATTCGCAAGATTTAAAATTTGGGGGGCGGGAAAGTTAAAGTGTTTTCAACTTTTTGCGAATATTCGCGCGATTTGAAGGTTCGCGTTTGCGCAGAATGGTGTTGTGATCCGGTTATCGATTATTTTGACGACGCTGCCACAAAGTACCAAAGTACAAAGTAACTGAAAGCATTTCTCCAGGTGAAATGGGTTCTCGTGTATATGTTTTTGATATAATATGGTGACAATTTTTCAACCAAGTTATCAAACTCCTATACAGACAATCTGTGAAAAACATAAACACATCATAGTCAGTAGACTCAATCTGTGAAAATTCCTAAATTTTTTCTCATCTTTTTTCCTCATTTCTTGAATTAAATTGCGATAAGCACCTTGTTGCTTACGAAATTTAAATATTTCACATGTCCCAAATGACCTATAAACCCGTTCTTTCTACGTTTTAACAATAAGTAAATGGCAATTTTGCACCTTCTGTTCCAATCCCACAATCGTAATCAATATTCATAATCATTAAACAAATTTAAACTCATATTGTATGCTATAAAATATAAAATAAAGATCGTAAACACGAATAAAAACAAATTAAGTTATCTCAGGTTATGATTTTTTTTAGTAACTTTCAGTGGAGCAAAAATGAAATGTCCCTAAAAATTCGCGACTGTATGAAATAGGTCCAAATTTTGCGAATATTTTTTGGCGAATCGCTTTTCGCAATTCGCGATTCGCGTCTATATGAAACAAGCTTTATGAGGATGAGCAATCCTATTAGTTTACTGGGTGGCACCCCCTGCAAGGAGTCATATTGACATCGAAATCAAATTTTTCATGTAAAAAACACCCATTTTCTTCCAAATATTGACATTAGTTCAGAAATTATTTGAAAAAATCGTCATAAAAATGAAAATTCTAAACGAAGCATTTTAGGACATACATTTATACGAACTTTTTTACCTATTTTTACCGGCAGAATATACTGCCGAAGTTTCCCGAATACAATTCGGACCATCCCCGTATACATAGCAGTTGATTTCACTTAAACCACTCAAATTTGTACATTAAAAAAATATATTTTTAGTAAAGAACTTTAAAAACTCTATTACATCAAAAACACACAAACTTTCTAATTACTTATAGACTATATTCCCAATTTAACTACAGCGAACTACTATTAGATGGCAGCACTTGAATTATTAACGTCAGAAAAAAGTTAGACAGAAAAGTGACAGAATACAGAATCCTCTTAATTATTATCAACTCTTTAACAGGGTCAAGGCAACTTCTAATGCTCGTTTAATCTTGTACAATTGAGGATTGAGATATCCTCCATCAATTAGTCAAAAAAACTCACAAAACTTCTGATTCTCATCATAATATATTCTAACCTCAAATCTAAGTTGAGTGGAAACGGACTTTTAGGGTTTTGGAGGACGATTCTGTGACATCTGGAATTCTTTTTAGACCAGTACCATCATTTTTTTCGATATGATGTACGACTTTCAGCGAAATAAGTAAAGTTAGAACAGTTTTGCTATATTTGCTGATACAACCCTCACGTTGTACATTTTTTTAATGAAATAAACATTGTTATTGCCAGGGGTCCTCTCTTGCACAGACTAATATAAATAAAAAACTCATTTGACGTAGATTTTTGCGGACACTGTATACAGTGTAGGTAACGTCTTTGACTAAACAACTGAATTGTATAATATTAAGCAGAACCTCGCAATTAGTGGAATAAATTAGTGGTTTCAATTACACTTTATACTTTTTAGTTTACGATCGTTCACAATATTTAAATAACACAAGTAAAATTAATAGAATATCCTAGCAACAGCTTGCGTTAATCAGTGTATGCATAGAGAAAGCCTAATATTTAGCTTATAAAACAATTAACTCTTGATGTCTAACCACAATTTTTCTTGAAGGAAGATAATCAAAGGCCAAAATGACATTTCTCGCAAATTTTGTAGTATAATTAGTGGAAAAGTTAAAAGTTTGATAACTTTTTCTACTAATTGAAAATGTCTAACACTAATTTTGACGTTCTGAATGCTTACATTGAAATTAAAACAAAAACTTCTACGCTAACTGAAACCACTAATTGCCAGGTTCTGAATGAAGCTTTACTATTGTGTTTTCTGCCACAAATTCGAGAGTGCACAGAATCCTTACTGCTGCATAGATACTGAGGCTATGGTAGATATTGTAGAATAAGTTCAGTAACTGTTGTACAATAAAACAGGATGAACCTCCAAGCGCTAATCGATACAAACTCTTTTATATATTCTAAACTCAGACCAAAACCATATGGAAATATCCTTTCAGGATCTTGGCAAAGTCTTCTTGAACGGCTTCTCAACCAAATCATACTAACTGATTTTATCATTCACTGAACTGCTGGCATAACAGAAGAATCAATCAAAAAATCCACTCAAAAAAACATCTGATTCCTATTAAATATTCCTAACCTCCGATCTAAGTCAAATGAAAATCACCTTTCAGAATCCTGGTAAAGGTCTTCTTGAATTGCTGATTAGCCAAAGCATAACAAAAAGGATTCAGTGGACTGTTCGCGTAGCAAAGAAAATAAGAAAACATATAAATATGCGAATTAACGCACGGGGGATCAGTACAAAACCCTTCAACCAAAGCAAAGATGTGGTATGGCGTCCAGCACACTACAAAAGCTCCCAGGATGAAAGATATGGTTCTTAGCGCTTTCCTAGCTCGGTTTTCACTTTTCGACTTCTGCCTACTGCCCAAAGCACCCAAAGGTCCAGCTAGATGTTTCTTCTTAACCTTGAATTTCTTCCCTAAAGATTTGACGAAGACCCTCTTGGTAGCGGCGTCTGTTGTAGGATCCGTATCTGCTTTACGAAAAAAACGGTTTTTATTTTTATCCCTTGCCATTGCTGACCCCGCTGTAGCATTACCTGTTTGAGATATAGCCGAAATAGCCTCGCAGGGTGAACTGGGACCACTGTTCGTGTCCCTGAAGGAGCTCTTTGTACTGGCAGGCTCCTTGTATGACCCTTTAGTCTGTTTCTTCCCTACCAATGACGTTATTGGTCTGTTAGAACTCAGGGTAACTTCAGTCTGGATCCTGATTGAATTGCCGTAACCTTCCACAGTCTGGAAAGTAGCAGCTTTCTGGTTAGGTTGGGTTTGGACACTTTTACCACTACCAAGAGGGTTGGATGGAATTTCACAGTAATAACGTGCACTCTCAAGGTTACTGGGGTCGGGTAAACAATACTGATCCTGGGCAAGGTTAGTTAAACTGGGCGGTTTCTCAAGCACTGGGGAGGGTACTACCACACTACTCTCATCCATGAATCTCAGGTCTGCACTGTCCATGCCTACTAGCAGGTCGTAGGTGCTGTAATTCTTTTTACAGGAGGGTGGTTCTGATTGGTTGGGGGGTTTCTGGCCGATTTCTATGCTACTGTAGGATGTGGTGAGTGGGGGTAGTTTGCTCGGTCTTACCAGGTGGTGTTGGGTGGGTTTCTGTACGTCGTCCGTCGGTTTGGACGATGCGGGTGGGTTTTTCTTGAATTGTTCTTGTAACATCAGTTTTTTGGGTGGTTCTGGTTTGTTGAGGATGTTACCGTTGAGGCGCTGGGGGGAGCTGCCGAATATCTGCATGGAGCTCGTCTGTAAAACTAAATATATAGATTTAAATAGTAATATTCATACGTCTCATTGATTTGCAGGGATTATTATTACAGAGGTAGTTAAAAAAATGTTGAAATTAGTTTATAATGGCGTATAATAAGAAAGATAATTTTGACATATGACGTGTTAATGTCTGCATCATCTTTTACTACCTTGAAATTTTGGTGTTAGAGCAGCTATAGTAATTAATCTGACAAGATTTAAGGCTTTTAATAATAATAATGCCGAACCATAGCCTTAAAATTTTATTTCAAGTCTATGATTCGAATCCGCAACATTTAGATTGGTAGACAACAGCTGTACCTCTCCTCCACCGGGCACCTATTTAAGGCTTTTATATAGCACTGAAACAATCTTCAAATATACTTAAAAGGACAGCATCCTATACAGGGTGTTTTAAAGGTACCTAGTCATTTTAATTTCTTATTAACAATTTATTAAATAAAGTTTAATTTTTAACATAATTATTTGCTTACCTATATCTACTATGCTTTTTCGGTGACTTTTATGTTTATCTTCTTTTTGTAAAGGCTTATTTCCAGGAAGACTGTATCTTGTTTCTTCTTTTAGTGCGTTTGGTGCGATACTGTCGTCATCACTGTCAAAAGCCGGACTGGAACTTCGTTCTATATTTTCTACTTCCTGTATATGTCCCTGAGGATAAATTAAAAAATAACTGAATAATCAAGATTTTTTTTAAATTAATATAATAAGAGTTATCTTAGTTTTGTTTTAATACTTTTTTAATATACATATAATTTTAGAATTTGTTAAAATAATTTATTTCGTATAAGTTTTGTATCTCTAGAATGATTTTTTTTTCAAAAGTTTCAGATTTAAATTATAAAAATTATAAAAAATTAACAATATCATTATCTGGTTATAATTAAACATTTTAATTATATTATTTATGATCTTTTGCCAATTTTATATTTGATAAAAGTATTATTATCATATTAATAAAATTCCACCAATTTTATATTTGATAAAAGTATTATTATCATATTAATAAAATTCCACCAAAATAGAATCTAGAACACCTTAATAATGAAATATTCTACACAGAAAACTTTATCTAAATAACATTAAGTACCTTATTTGTAGCTAGATTTAAGTTTCGCTCCATGGCGGCCGTTGTTGTAGTTGTTGTTGTGGTCGTGGAGCTATTCTTATTAAAACTCGTGGTTTTTTGGCTGGAGTTTGAGTCTCCTGACCCACCCGCAGTATAACTTTCCCTAACTTTAAGTCCGTCTGCGGCTGTTGGAACCGTCTTACCTATAAAGTTTTTTTTGCTTAAATTACATAAATTTGCAACAAGAGATGGATCGTTATGTAACTATCTGTTATTTTACAACAGTTATTTAGAAATAACATAACGAAATGGTTGTTATTTCTAAAAAGAATAGATATTAAATAACAGCACTATAATAATGGCTAACGGTTATTATTTTCTCATTTTTTTTATTCTTATGAGTTATATTTTTACCTTCTAAAAAATTATTGTCTTGTTTTATTTCGGCTTCTTTTGACTTCTGACTGGCGTTTCTGCCATTGTCGATCATTTCGGGTTCTGGCGGTGTTTTGCTGTTGGACAGTCCAATTCCAGCAGCTCTGCCCGCCATTCCTGTTGTAAAAAAGCAGATTTAACAACATTAACTAACCTAAAAGTTAAAAAAAGCGTACAATTTTATTTTTAATAAAATTAACATATCTTATACTCGTCACGCTTTTTTGATGCAACGTGTATAGTCAAAAATAATTTTATATTGCGTATCTTAACCTTCCCTAAAACTTTTCTATTTAACTTTTTTATATTATTTTCGAATCAAATTAAATAATGTACAGGGTGGTCGAAATTGGTCTGTTTTAACAGAGAAAAGCTATTTCCTGACTAGATAGAGCAAAACCGACATAGATGTCATGGGCTCGATTTCTGAGAAACGTTTAATGGCGTAAACCGCCTGTTGATATTTTCACTGCCAACTAAGATACGGAGTCTTTTTGAATTTTTTACCATTTTAAAAATTGCCCATAACTTTTTTATTTTGCGGAATAATACAATTCTGTAAAAACGTTATAAAGGCACATTTTTAGGCACAATCCAGTGGCGTAGTCAGTTTTTTCTATGCTTGCTCTTTTTGTCAGGAATAATAAAAAATATAATTTTTTAAATGGAAATAATAGTTGGCTATGAACTTAAAAAAATGCTGGCGTTTTACCCTTTCCAATGATCTAAAGATATGGACATCTATTTCTAAGAATGAGAGAAATATTAGGTTTTTGATCTTTATATCGAAGCGGGCCTTGATTTTGTGTTGACCTATTTGCTTAATTATTTTTTATCACAATTTAATATATGTATCTCGGTTGGCAATGAAAATATGAACAGGCGGTTTAGGCCATTAAACGTTTCTCAGAAATCGAGCCATGACATCTATTTCGGTTTTGCTCTATCTAGTCAGGAAATAGGTTTTCTCTGTTAAAACAGACCAATTTCGACCACCCTGTACAGGGTGTCCCATTTTCACATATTTTACAGGATTCTATGTTTATGAGTAGAGATACAAAGATGTGGTTTTCACATTATTATGCTACTACTGTTTTATGAAACTAAAGATGCTACATACAGACTTGTTCTAGCCTTCTTAGTTCTTTAAATACACGGCAAATTGGACAATTTTGTATTCTTCCTCCCTTTTTGTATTATATAACTTATCGAAAAGGGAAAAACTCGTTTACGGGAAGTCCCGTAAAAATTTTCACGTAAAATCCAGTGACGTAACTAGTTTGTCGCTGCGAGTTCATTCTTGGAGATCTAAACTTATATTTTTTAAATGGAACAAATTACACCATGTATGTACAGGGTGGTCGAAATTGGTCTGTTTTGACAGGGAAAACCTATTTCCTGACTAGATAGAGCAAAACTGACAAAGATGTCATGGGCTCGATTTCTGAGACACGTTTAATGGCGTAAACCGCCTGTTGATATTTTCACTGCCAACTGAGATACGGGGTATTTTTTAATTTTTTACCATTTTGAAAATTGCCCATAACTTTTTTATTTCGTGGTATATTAAAATTCTGTAAGAACGTTCTTAAGGCAATTTTTTAAGCACAATGCAGTGGCGTAGTCAGTTTTTTTCTATGCTTGCTCTTTTTGTCAGAAATAATAAAAAGTATAATTTTTTAAATGGAAATCATAGTTGGCTATGAACTTAAAAAAATGCTGGCGTTTTACCTTTTCCAACGATCTAAAGTTATGGGCATCTATTTCTAAGAATGAGAGAAATATTAGGTTTTTGATCTTTATATCGAAGAGGGCATCGATTTTGTGTTGACCTATTTGCCTAATTATTTTTTATCACAATTTAATATTCTATATTAATATTTACTTGCAATACACCATGTATAATAATAATAATAATTTAAGACTTTACAATTGAAATCGATACAATAAACAAAGAAAAAAACTAAAAAAAAGTATTTTTTGAGTGACGAATATAGTTTACTAAAAAAAATCATCAATTATGTTCAAACTGACCACCTCGTTGTTGAACACATAATAAACATCTTTTGAGTTATAAAGATTTATTAGGTGAACTAGTGTAATAAGTCCAAAAGCTTGCCTAGTAGCCATCTGCAATTCTTCTCTCGTCCCAATGGTTCTTACCTTATTATATATACCTTACCTATATTATGTATAAGAAATTTTATTTTTTTCCGTAAAAAAAAGTCAAAAGGAGTTAAATCTCAGGACTTAGCAGGCTAAGATATGGGGCCCCTTGTTCCAATCCAATTCTCTCTAAATTCTCCATTTAATAGTTCAGTTGTAATCCTGGCGTTTTAATTGTAATTGGTAATACTAATATAGAATGTTGATTTATCTTTTCAAAAGTCTTTAATTATGCAGATAAATTATAATATAGAATATTAAATTGTAAAAAAAAATAATTAGGCAACTAAGTCAACACCGAATCAAGGCCCGCTTCGATACAAAGATAAAAAACTTAATATTTCTCTCATTCTTAGAAATAAATACACATAACATTATATCGTTCGAAAGGGTTAAACGCCAGCATTTTTTTAAGTTTATAGCCGACTATGATTTCTATTTAAAAAATTATATTTTTTATTATTTCTGACAAAAAGAGCAAGAATAGAAAAAAACTGACTACGCCACTGCATTGGGCTTAAAAAAGTGCTTTAAGAACGTTCTTACAGAATTTTAATATACCGCGAAATAAAAAAGTTATGGGCAATTTTCAAAATGGTAAAAAATTCAAAAAGACCCCGTATCTCAGTTGGCAGTGAAAATATCAACAGGCGATTTACGACATTAAACATGTCTCAGAAATCGAGCTCATGACATCTATTTCGGTTTTGCTCTATCTAGTCGGGAAATAGGTTTTCTCTGTTAAAACAGACCAATTTCGACCACCCTGTACAGGGTGTCCCATTTTCACATATTTTACAGGATTCTATGTTTTTGAGTAGAGATACAAAGATGTGGTTTTCACAAATATTATGCTACTACTGTTTTATGAAACTAAAGATGCTACATACAGACTTGTTCTAGCCTTCCTAGTTCTTTAAATACACGGCAAATTGGAAAATTTTGTATTCTTTCTCCCTTTTCGTATTATATAACTTATGGAAAAGGGAAAAACTAAGTCCCGTAAAAATTTTTTCATGTAAAATCCAGTGACGTAACTAGTTTGTCGCTGCGAGTTCATTCTTGGAGATCTAAACTTATATTTTTTAAATGGAACAAGTTAAACCATGTATGTACAGGGTGGTCGAAATTGGTCTGTTTTGACAGAGAAAACCTATTTCCTGACTAGATAGAGCAAAACTGACAAAGATGTCATGGGCTCGATTTCTCGAATTTCTGAGACACGTTTAATGGCGTAAACCGTCTGTTGATATTTTCACTACCAACTGAGATACGGGGTATTTTTTAATTTTTTACCATTTTGAAAATTGCCCATAACTTTTTTATTTCGTGGTATATTAAAATTCTGTAAGAACGTTCTTAAGGCACTTTTTTAAGCACGATGCAGTGGCGTAGTCAGTTTTTTTTTTCTATGCTTGCTCTTTTTGTCAGAAATAATAAAAAGTATAATTTTTTAAATGGAAATCATAGTTTTTGAACGATCTAAAGTTATGGGCATCTATTTCTAAGAATGAGAGAAATATTAGGTTTTTGATCTTTATATCGAAGAGGGCATTGATTTTGTGTTGAGCTATTTGCCTAATTATTTTTTATCACAATTTAATATTCCATATTAATATTTACTTGCATAATTAAAGACTTTTGAAAAGGTAAATTAACATTCTATATTAGTATTAGTAATTACAAGTGAAATCGATACAATAAACAAAGAAAAAAACTAAAAAAAAGTATTTTTTGAGCGACGAATATAGTTTACTAAAAAAAATCATCAAATATGTTCAAACTGACCACCTCGTTGTTGAACACATAATAAACATCTTTTGAGTTATAACGATTTATTAGGTGAACTAGTGTAATAAGTCCAAAAGCTTGCCTAGTAGCCATCTGCAATTCTTCTCTCGTCCCAATGGTTCTTACCTTATATATAAGAAATTGTAATTTTTTCCGTAAAAAAAAGTCAAAAGGAGTTAAATCTCAGGACTTAGCAGGCTTTTTAGAATATGGGGCCCCTTGTTCCAATCCAATTTTCTCTAAATTCTCCATTTAAAAGTTCAGTTGTAATCCTGGTGTTTTAATTGTAATTGGTAATACTAATATAGAATGTTGATTTATCTTTTCAAAAGTCTTTAATTATGCAGATAAATTATAATATAGAATATTAAATTGTAAAAAAAAATAATTAGGCAACTAGGTCAACACCGAATCAAGGGCCGCTTCGATACAAAAATAAAAAACTTAATATTTCTCTCATTCTTAGAAATAAATACACATAACATTATATCGTTCGAAAGGGTTAAACGCCAGCATTTTTTTAAGTTTATAGCCGACTATGATTTCTATTTAAAAAATTATATTTTTTATTATTTCTGACAAAAAGAGCAAGCATCGAAAAAAACTGACTACGCCACTGCCTTGGGCTTAAAAAAGTGCTTTAAGAACGTTCTTACAGAATTTTAATATACCGCGAAATAAAAAGTTATGGCCTAGTTCTTTAAATACACGGCAAATTGGAAAATTTTGTATTCTTCCTCCCTTTTCGTATTATATAACTTATCGAAAAGGGAAAAACTAAGTCCCGTAAAAATTTTCACGTAAAATCCAGTGACTTTTTCACGTGACTAGTTTGTCGCTGCGAGTTCATTCTTGGAGATCTAAACTTACATTTTTTAAATGGAACAAGTTACACCATGTATGTACATTAGGTTTAGTACACATAAAAATGTGCTTGCATTATAATCATCGTATATTTAATATACGTCTCAAACAGTACATTTTGTTTGAGACCAATGTAGATCTTAGAGCTGTTAAGTTCGGTTTTTATTAAATAAAACGTTCTTTAAAAACAACTTGTCTTGAGTTTCTCATTTAATTGGCGCAGTCAGTAGGATATTCCGGAACGTGTGTATTAAAAAGTACCGATTTAGGGTGCATTCGCTTCCCCAAGTATTAATCGGGAATATGCCTTCCTTCCGGGACTTGAAGAAAATAGTGCCGACCTACATGGACCTTAGTGTAGATAATGTCCATACCTGACATAGCTCCTGCACTAAGTGCTACCATGGACTGCATTTTTCTTTGTTTGGCTTCACTCTTTTTCTGCATATTGTAGGCTGTCTTGTATATACCTAAAATTAATTTAAAATAAAAGACTTTTAATTCAAATATTCTGGTTTCATCAAAGAAAATAGTATATTGTTTTATTAGGAGTAAAAATGATACTTTCCGTGGTGAGGCTGTACGTTTGACTTGTGACATACAGCCGAGGCATATAAAGTCATTTTTACTCCGAATAGAACATGGTATTTTTTTCAAACGCCACTAATTAAAGTTTTTAAACAATTTCAATTTCGTTCTAAATAATATAAAAAGATTTAAAAGTCATACCTTGTCTGTAATTATACAGAGTTTCCTGCGATGTTCTCTATGGGTATCTCGGAAACTACTGGAGATAGAGATATTTCGAAAAAAACAAATTTTGGCTATTTTAAAAATTGTCCCTAATTCCATTATAATCTATTTTAGAAAAAAAAAGTTTTCAGATAGAAGTTGTAGATAATCACATCCCTAATGAGTTTGTGTTCTCCGATTTTTACTAAAGCCTGTCATTTTTGACATATGACAGAAACATATGTTTTTTTAAATGGAAACCAGAGTTGGCCATGACTTCATAAAAAGTGCCATTCTTAAGCTTTTCAGCGATATAAGCTATAATATGTTTTTTTTTTCGAAAAATTACTGAGTTATAGCCAATTCTTATCATTTTTAGACAATTTCACTTAGTTAGCCATGGAAACAAGATCAATCGTCGTGAAATGTGAAACTGTCACTGCCAAAATTCTGTCACTGCTTTTCAAACGAAGAATAGCGTGGAATTTGTTCAACTTTTCTTGGCCGTACATTTTCGAGGATACGTTAACCGGTGAACGTTACTTATGTTTTTTAGAGAACGGTTTTAGAAAAGTTAAATTTAGATACTTGGGTATCAATAGAGTGGTTCCAACATGACTTTCATTATAACGCCTTTTATATTGTCAATCACGTCGCAAAGATTAATACTTTTTTGACGTTTGAAAAAAATAGTATTTTTATAAGCTAAATCAAAATCAAAACAGATTCTTCAACCAAGACATAAAAAATTACCTCCATATAAAATAAAGAGTACTATAAGCGTTGTCCAGTAGTACGTGATGATGAGGGCTGTGTTGAATACAGGATCTTTCAAGAACTGCACTGCGCAATGGCCAGGCAGTAAGTCCCTGTATCCCACAAAATGCTCCCACCCGAAAATGCTTATAAAAAATAAGAGTGCTGGAATGATCCACGTGATCACCACCATTAGAACCACCCGTTGTTTGGTTCTCCAACTGAAAATACAAAAACAGCATTAATATATAAAAGAAAGAAAAATAAATACTGAAAATAATAGTTTTACGATGTAAGTTCGGTTGATTTACCGGTACTTTTACATGAGTGACATTTTTTAAAGAATTTCAAAACACTATAAAAATTAACTGTGAAAGAATTGCGTACAGGGTGTACTAGATTGGTTGAAATAATGTATCTCCGTTATTAGTGAAGATAGGAGGATGCGGTTTGTACAAACCTGTCCCATACTTTTGTCAAACGGAAGATGCTGTAAACAAAATTTTCTTAGCCTTCTTCATTTAATTCTTTATAAACTTTCTAGCGTATACTCTACATATATTTGATACCAATTAAAACTGTTAATTACGTAATCGCGTGCGCGATTTTTAAATTTATTGTTGCCAACTATGCACATATTCGGCGCCGGGCTGAGTAACTGGAATTTAAATTTCCCGCTGGGGATTCAGGTGGTAGCTCTGCTGTAAAAAATGTCAGGTTGCCACATATATTTATTTATTTGTCATTGTCATTCGTTTTGACACTTTAGTTTTGTGTTACGAGTTTTTGGTTTAAATAAATAGTGATATTAAAAATGTTTACGAGCAGACCTTGCAGTCGAACATTGTTCTTTTTAGAACTTCTTTTAGTGCGAAGTGGTACTAGATAGCTTAATAGCCGTAAAAAACTCATCGCAACTTTATTAGAATATTTTGAACGGGAAAGCGGTAGTAATGGTCCTTTATGTCCGTTAAGTGCTGTTAAGAAGGTGAGTTTTGTTGATGTAAATAATAACTGTTTATACAGGGTTGTTCACCACATACGACACGGAATATTGTAGCTAAATGATTAGATTTTTACAAATTGTAAGTTTTGGGTTCGTTGAAGGAAGAGCTACAATTTAAAAATATTTTTACAAGATACAGAGCGTCCCAAATAAATTAAAAATATCAAAGTTGTATTTTTTTAAATGGAATACCGTGTATATTATTACATTTTTAAGGTAAATTTGATTAAGGTTTATTACACTTAAACCTTACCGTTTTCTAAATATTTTCAATTTTGTGAAATTGCAGTAAAAATTTTAAGGCTTCATTTCTCGAAGGGTATCAAAGTTTTTAATACTAAATATTTACTGAAGTCTATTTATTGCTCAGTTATTGTGTTGCAATAATAAAAATAATACTACCTCATACAGAGTGTCTAAAAATTTATTTTAAATTATTTCTAGCTTTAAACGGCAATAACTTGTTTAATTTAAATGGTACACCGTGTATATTTTAGGAAAATCAGATGCACAATTTAATTGTCTATGAAATTGTATTATACCACTTTTTACCTATCCCTTCAAATTTTCGTAGAAAATGCATTTACTTATAATTTAGACCTCATTTATCAATATACCCATGGAATATTGACATTTTAGATTGTTTTTAAAGCAACAAATGTACAAAATGTACAGGCTAGTAATATTATCGTTTTTAGCAAAATGATAATATTGCTAGACCATTTGTCTGCAAAAAGAAAACTATTTAAATCTTTATAAAAGAGTATACAATTAATTAAATATACCACCATTATTTCCGTCCAAATACTAATTAATTACATACTTAGATATGTTCGTTAATAAATTATTCTAAATAAATTTGGATTTGATTCAGAAATCAATATAATAATAAGTTATGAAAATGAATGTCTCTGTTGTTATAAATAAGCATTTGTCAAAAAATGAAATATCATTTTTAAGGTGTTACTTTTTACCACACTGTCTAATATACATACAAAATTCAGTTTTTTAGTATTTGGAGCAATTATTATTAATCAACGCAAACAGTCAATTAATGTAGTTTGAATACTGGAATCATATTAATTGGTCCTCATTAACAAATATTTAAACCGTTTTTTTTATTTCTTAATGAAATAAACAACTATATCGACAATATTAGTATCTGTACTCTTTAAAAAATTTGGTACATCTTTAAAAATAATCTAAAATGTCAGTATTCCATGGGTATATTGATAAATGAGTTTTAAATTACAAGAAAATGCATTTTCTACGGAAACTTGAAGAGATAGGTAAAAAATGGTATAGTACAATTTGATAGACAATTAAATTCTGCATTTGGTTCTCATAAAATATACAGGGTGTTCCATTCAAATTAAACAAGTTATTGCCGTTTAAAGCTAGTAATTATTTAAAATAAAATTTTAGACACTCTGTATAAGGTAGTATAATTTTTATTATTGCAACACATTAACTGATCAATAAATAAACTTCAGTAAATATTTAGTATTAAAAACTTTGATACCCTTGGAGAAATGAAGCCTTAAAATATTTACTGCAATTTCACAAAATTGAAAATATTTCAAAAACGGTAAGATTAAAGTGCGGTAAACCTTAATCATTAAAAATTTTCCTTTATTTTAATCGTAGAAACTAAAAATGTAATAATATACAGGGTGTTCCATTTAAAAAAATACAACCTTGATATTTTTTATTTATTTGGGACACTCTGTATCTTGTAAAAATATTTTTAAATTGTAGCTCTAATAGTCCTTCAACGAACCCAAAACTTACAATTTGTAAAAATCTAATCGTTTAGCTGCAATACTCCGTGTCGTATGTGGTGAACAACCCTGTATATTAATAATTAATTTATTTTTCTTTCCTAAAATATTTCGATTAAAAGAAAATATGTAAAAGTGGGCAACGCTGTGCCGGTCAACCTTAATCACGTGACTAAAAGTTTATTTGATATGAACTATATAAGATATAGGTTTTATCAAAAAACTCCAAATTACATTTAGAGACCCAAAAAAGGATGTTGCTATATAAAATTTATTTAGACCTTTTTTCGAGCTACACCTACTAAATTCAATAAAGAAATAAAAGTTTTTTTTTATTTAATTTAAGAATATCTACCTTCTATATTTGGCGGCTATTTTCACTGAACAAAACCGATCTATGGTAATCAGTAGCACGGTATATTGCGACACTAGACAGACAGTGTAGTCCACAGACAGCCACAGATCGCATAGTAAAGGCCCTAAATCCCAGTAGCCCATCAAAACGTAGACTGCAAAGAAGGGCATAGATACAGTGCCTGTCAAAGGAAAAAAAAAATATAATTAAAGAAAATTCATGAATATAGTTTTTGGTAATATAAAAACTAATTTCCACATTTTTTTCTAAAATCTGTTGAGGAACGAGGGAAATTTTAATTTGGACAAACGACAAAATTGAGAGAAAAAACAATAGTAAATTTGTTTAAAAACAATCTCGCATACGTCAGTGTACTTCTTCATGTTTTTTTTTGTCAAAATGCAAAATATTGAATAATAAAACTCAATAGAACTTACCAATAAGTACGTCAGTAGCTGCCAGGGATGCAATAAAATAATTACTGGGCTGTCGAATGTTCCTGTCGACGATGAAAGCGAGTAATACCAAAATATTTCCAGAAACTGTAAGTATAATGCATATCCCTAAACTGATGGCTATTAAAATCGTTTGCCATAACCTAAATGGTGCTAGTACTGGAGTTATTGAGGGTTCCGTAGATGCTGTCGAACTGGCATTATCTTCAGTTCCTAAAGAAGAAATTTCTATTGTCAAGAACCAAAATTAAAACCGAGTTCGCATTATACAGGGTGTCTTAAATAAGTGCAAATATTTCTAGGGCTGACAGATCTCGATAAAAGAAACATATTTTCTCTTTATCGTTTTTTAAATAAGTCCAAAATAACCGAATTATTTTACTTTCAAAATTCCAAAAAAAAAGGATTTTTAGCTTAAATTTTCAGAACCACTGGATCTTTTCTGGGTTTTCATTCTTGTAAATTTAATCTACTAAATATGTTGCCATATTATCAAGAAATTATGTTTTTTAACTAAAAATTAAAAAAAGTTCCAAATTTTCAGTAAAAATCTTTCGCGAAAACATATCATAATCGTGTTTCTGGGGTCACCCGTAAAAATATTTGCACTTATTTAAGACTTCTCCTGTATAATTTGAAAAAATAATGCATCTTTGACTTGTATTTATTTGCATCACATTGATGTAGATTTGTTTTGCTCTTTAATTCTTAATTTTCATTTTATTTAACATTTTTTTTAAAGAACATAAAGATTATTTAAGAAAGGGCAGCTTTTTACAAATTTATGATTTATCAGCATTCATGGGACACAGGGCATAGAATAGTTTTTACCAATGCAAAAATTATAATGAAAGAAACGATAGCCTCTAAAAGAAAAATAAATGAGGTTTTTTTTAATACAATCTAATAAAAATAAATGTATAGCTCATGCCTCTGTAGATGTTAGAAATGTATGGCAATTGCTTCTTTGATTTTAAAGAACATAACATAAATAAACATAACATACGTAAAAATTAAAAATAATCATACAGAAAGTTTGGGGCGTTTTGGTTTTACCTTATTAAGTAATTGTTATCAGGTAGTAATTGTTAATTTTGAAGTTTAACTTGATATAATGTTATTTTAACAGACAACGTCAACAGTTTTTGTAGTCGTATCTGTTTTAAAACAATTAAAGTGTTTTTGCATTTATTTGCATTTAGATATTTTAAATAGTTTTTTTCTTTGTACTTTTGTATTTTTTTGCTTCCGACGACTGAAGGAGATATACTTTCCGAAACATTAAGCATTTTTTTGTCCGTTAGGTAAATTTGTTCATTAGTAAGCCACTGCTGACAATTAGTCTAACGCCAGTAGTGTTTACAAAAAACATCTATTTTATTTCGTAGATTTTCTTCCATTGGCGAAATACACATAGGACTTTTTTAGATTAATGAAGCCGCCACATAGATATAGACATTTTTTACCTTAAGAATAATATTACAGAAACAGTTTTTGAATAAATGCCGCACTTTTTTACATTCATAAAACATACAATAAATCAACTGACCACGTTTTAAAATTTAACAAATAAATGGATCTCATAATTTCAAAGATTGTGAAAATGTAGCTAATAAAAAAATTACATATTCGCCCACGTGCTTTTATGACAATTTTATTCACATCAGTCACCGTTTGAAACACAATCTCTTAAATTTCAACTCCATGATTCGGATATTAAAGTGAGTAAAAATAGAGAAAGTCTCATAAAAGCCAGGGCGCTCATTTCACAGAGTATTTATTAAACTGAAAATTACATACTTCTTTTACAGCCCTATATATGATATAAGAATGGATATACAAAGTACTTACTATTGTGCCTAGCCCAGTCTATGTCCGTTCCAAAAATATTAAGCGCTTCGCTGTCAAAAGTTGTGAAATTAAATGATTCAGTACACGCAGTGAACGAGAGTAGTCCTTCAGATATGGTCTTGCAGATTTTTTCTCTTTGCCTTTGAAGCTTCCTGTAACAAAAGAAAATACCTTTATTTAGTTTATATAAAATTATATCTTGTGTCAACTTAGCAGTCGTTTTATAATTTAAAATATATATATATATATATATATATATATATATATATATATATATATATATATATATATATATATATATATAAAACATATGCTACGTAACAATAAAGAAAAACGTTATTTCGATATCATTTTAAACGTCATATCGTTGACTGAATGAATTGAGATACGCAACCTAATGAGCAAATTCGGGACAAGGCTGTTTTGATTTCTCCTTACGGCTCAAGTGCTGTACGGTGGAGCCTCTACTCGTTCTGCGGCCAACGCATAAAACACTCATTTTCTCTAATTCGGCTAGCGAAGGAATATCGAAGACGGTGTGGAACTGAAAGCGACAGTGTTGCCATATTAAAATAAGTAATATCTGTAATACGTTTGACGAACATATCTTTGGATAAAAAATCCGCGTTTATGTATTGAAAATATATTCGTGTTAAATATAGAACAAATAACAAAAATAAAAATTCTTTTATAAGTACTGAGAATTTCGTTTAGTCAGACTTTTGACATTTACCATAATATTTTACACGTGAAATAACAGCGATCTTCATTTCCAAGCCAACTCTGACGCCGTTCTTTGTTTCATCATATGATATTATGATAAATTGTTTAATGATAGGAAATCCGTATTATTAATCTATCCAAAAAAATCTTTTATGGGTATTTCGCCACTGCACTGCAAGAAAAATTTACAAAATAAAATAGTTATTTTTTGTAAACACTTCTGCGTTAAACCTAAACGGACGCTGCTTGTCAGAAGTTGTGTTTACAGTAATAAAAATTTGCCTAACAAAGAAAAAAATGCTTAACGTTTCGGAAAGTTTTCTCTTTCCGTCGTCGGAAGCAAAAAAAATATAAAGAATCAAGAAAAAAACAATTTAAAATATTTAAATTGAACTATTCGAGAACACTTTACTTTTTAAAACAGATACGTCTACAAGAAATCGTTGACGTTCTGTTAAAATGACATTATATTAAGTTAAACTTCAAAATTAACAATTACTACCTGATAACAATTACTTAATACGGTAAAACCAAAAAGCCCAAACTTTCTGTATGATTATTTTTAAATTTTACGTATGTTATGTTTATTTATGTTATGTTTCAGGGGCGGGAAAGTAAAATAGCAAAAGCGGTTCCACCGTTTCCATGGAAATTTCAAATAAAATAGTTCCAGCCTCAGGCGCTATGTGGTAGTGCAATTCATCGGCGTGCTATAAATAGTTTAAATAACATTACTTACTTGTACAAGAATTTCCATAATACCTAATCAGTTTTATTTTTTTCAACGTATTTTCACGTAAATGATACATAATTTTTATAAAAATTAAAAAAATAAGGAGAAAAGTAATAAAAATTTAATAAAATCACGCACTGTCTTCCAAGCTCGGTCTACTACCGTTCGCGTTGTATAAAAATTAGGATAAGCATGGAAGGATTCTACCATATCTTCTAAGAATTATAAGTTTAATTTTTAAATTATTTTCATATTCATTAAGGCCAAAATTCTGCTACTTCAGTTCTTTAAAAATGCAAAAATTTTTAAAATTTTCATTCAAAATTTATTCGTTTTTGGACTTGTATGTTTCGCTTCTAGACCGAAGATATTGTAAATATATGGTTATAATATCATATTTTTTAAATTTAAGTAACATGAAATATTGAGTTTTATTGTTCCCCAGCAAATAAAATTCTTATCTCTTTATCATATTAACGCATCAAAATACTTCCCACATGTGTACATATTTTATTGTATCGTTTTTTTGCTCTCCTGTAAAATTAGGAATAATGGACTTAGCAGTTTATCACGTTTCACCGACGTTATGTTCTTTAAAATCAAAGAAGCGATTGCCATATATTACTAACATCTACAGATGCATGAGCAATACATTTATTTTTATTAGATTGAATTAGAAAAGCCTCCTTTATTTTTCTTTTAGAGGCTATCGCTTCTTTCTTTATAATTTTGGCGTTATTAAAATTTATTCTGTGCCCTGTGTCCCATGAATGCTGACAAATCTTAGATTTGTTAAAATCTCCCTTTCTTAAATAATCTTTATGTTCTTCAATTCAAACATTTAAGGGTCTAGATGTTTCACCAATGTAAAATTTATCGCATTCACATAGAGTATTTTGTATATTACATTTTTGTTTGTTGTTCTATATTCATTGTTTAGTATGTAATAAAATGGATCTAAGTGTATTTTGTATTTTGAAAGATGTTCGTATGTTATATTGTTTTCCTATTCTTCTTATTTTTCCGAAACGCCTCGTATGTATGGAATTGTAAATAATAAATACATTTTGACTCAACAAACCATTAAAAACTATATCAAGACATGGTACATAATATTAAATCTAACTTAGCGATGCGTTCAATATACACGAATCCTCTTAATACTTCTTTGAAGTCGGAGAGGAGTTACAGTTCAAGAAGTTCTTACCAAGAAAGTAGTATATTAAAGCTACTTACGAACTATACGAAATATATGTATTTCGGATGACTTTTATTCACCAAGCCGATCCGTTTCCGATCTGAAACATAAATTTTCTTTGAAATAGTTTCTCTGGAATTTAACAAGGTGCTTCAAGTTTGCTAAGAACGAAATTATAATAGAAAACGGAGTAGAATAGAATGAAATTAACTTTGAAGTTTATCTCATTTACCAATTATTTTACGAATGTTTTCAATTATTTTCTATTTTACTTTTAAGTTTCAAACTATTTAGGCTGTATTTCCTTTCTTACAGGTTTCTTACCTTGGTTTATAGTCTTCTGTTCGGTTTCTATGGTAATCGCAAAACAATCCGATGCACGTGATCAATTCTGAGTGACAAGCGATGGCGATCAGGGGGGTGACAGTAAAGGCCTGGTTTTTCTGAACAGATCGGCCCGAAATATTTCGGTGATATAGCACGAAAAGTTCGTTAGCGTTTCCGGCCAAACCCAGTATATGTGTAGGACGCAGTAGTGGTTTGTCTAGATCGGAACGAAATTTCGGAACGAAATTTCGGGAACGTATGCGGACAGCAGTTCGTCTGTATCAAACTAGTTTTGATTTGAACGATCTCAAATCGGCGTAGTTCGCCGAACTTGTTAGGTTAGGTTAAGGTTGTGAAAAAAAATTGTGAATTTCGGCGGATTTATTTTTATAAAATTACTATTTACAGTATGTGTGTAAAGTGAATCAATAAATTAATTAAAATTCGAGTGTTTATTTCTCGAAAACATATTTAGACCCGTCGATTTTCTTTTCTTGTCACGCATTTGAATAATAAAATTATTCACGGTGTTTCTAAAAAAGTTGGGCTGTTTATTTATTCTTTATGTAATTTATTTCATTCTTTATGTAATTTAGTACAGTATGGAATAGTTGTGGAGTTAAACGGAAAAAATCTTTGAACTTTGTATCATTATCCGAAAGATGCTTTAACACTAACAGTTTGTAAGCACCTTCTTTGTCCCTATTCTCAAACATTTTCGGAACTCTATTATGTTCAGAACATACTTCTAATAACGCATAGTACTCATCATCATCATCATCCTGTTCTTCTTCTAAAATCATAGCGATAAAAAATCCATTTAGAAGCGTAAAAAGAACCTAGGTACGTACAACGCAAAATTTTAATGATTGAATAGACCGAACTGAAATACCTAATCATAACGAATTTAATCTCCGACAAACCACACGCAGACGAAACTTCGGAACGAACTGAGTTCGGTAAATTAGAGCGTTCTGTACGGAAATATTCACCGAAATATTTCGGGCCGATCTGGTCAGAAAAACCAGGCCTTAAACCGGAAAATTGGAAACAGTTGTGGCGCGGTCCTACCCATAAAATAATTAACTAGAAAGAAGTGTCAACTCTGTGTTAAATCGTGGAAACACGATACGCCACCGAAAGCCTTCATTGTCGTCTGGAGAACTAATTTCCCAATTGACAGGTTGACATGATAAGGACATGATGGCTTAATTTTCACTTCCGTTTCCGGTTATTCAATGGCGGGCCCTCTTTCAGTTCAAATGCATTTTGTATTTTTTCTTTTCATAAATAAAACCAAAAAATAATTTATTTACATATATTTATTTGAAATATGGAACAACGTGACTAAATAAATATAAAAATATAGAGGATTGTATTGTTTCAGTACCAATTAGTTAATTATATGTACTTTTAACGTAAATTAGTTAAGGTATAAGCATGACTTACAGTAATTTGTAAATAAACACACGTATTCCCAGACTTCAAGGACAGAAAACGGACACAGGGACATGAAAACGGGAGCCTTATACAAAAACCTGAAAACAGAAAAACAAATTTTTTTATACTAAAATTAACAATGTAAAAATATCAATAGGTATAAGATATAAATATACTGTTTAAAAAAGCGTCCATTATTTCCAAAGAGACCTGGCTTATAAATCAAAAAGCAAAAAGAGACTTTTAGTCGGATAACATAATCAGATTATCAGTCCGATTTATTGCATTATTGACAATAAATCGCACATATTGGAGATAACTAATGTTGGCTATAGTTAAAAATGATCTTACCTTGCTGTAAATTGTTTCCATTTTCAAAAAAATCGCCGATCAAAGAGATTATAACACCATTTTCTTGCATCTAAAAAATGTAAAAACCGTGTTTATTTACTACCTATTTTTCATATACATGGGACATACCTACTACTGCAGAAACGTCATTTTCTCCGGGATTCTTCATGTAATATATATTTTATATACTTTATTACCTTTATATTTATAAATTTCAGCCGAAATATTAAATTGAACTTCCAAAACGAAACTAAACGGAATGAATTAATATGGCGTCGAATATTTTCTAATTGTTCTAGAACAAATCTGAAGTTGTCTCTGAAACTGAAATTTGTCAATTCTAAACACTGTGAAGTTAGACAATAGTTAGACAGAAACATTGCTGTCCTTGTCTCGGCGGCCATACTTGTCGTGAGGAGAATGACAGGAATGACACTAATGACTGTTTCCAATTTTCCTATTTCACTGTCACCCCCCTGGTCCTACCCAGGCAGAAAGCATGGCCTTCTAGACTGTCCTAGACAAAAATCTGAATATTTCTATATGATTTCTGTCAATTTCTGTTACGGAACATTTTTATGCACGTCGGCGTCCTCTTCTTTTGTCTGTGTGTCAGCCATGTGTCAACTCCCGAGGCCTCTGGCAAGGTCGGGCGCCATTTTAATTTTTGCCGTTTTAGATTTGATTGGAAGTTTGTTTATGATATTTCGGCTGAAATTTATAAGTACAAAGATGTTTTTTGATATAAAGTTCCTTGTTAACACTTTAATAAAGTATATATGGTATTAATTACATGAGAAAATGATGAAATCGACGTTTCTGCGTGTAGTAGGTATGGGCCATATTATATGTAAAAATAGGTATTATATTAACTGTTTTTATATTTTTTTAGTTTTAGATCCAAGGATCTTGGGATATTCTTTACCAAGGATTTTTCCGTATCTCTACTTTAAAGACTGATCGGTGATTTTGAGCAATTGAAAGCAAGTTACACAAGGTAAATTATGATTATTGAACTATTATTAGCCTACATTAATTATCTACAAGATGAACAGAAATGCGTAATTACATATCACATAGGTACCTATTATGTATTTTCATAGCAATAATGCTATGTATGTAGATTATTTTTTTTGTAGATTATTTTTAAAATACAAATCAGGTATTAGATGTATATGTATCATATTTTTTATTCATTTTATTTTCATTCAAGTCCTGTTTGATTTAATTCACAAAAGCCTTATGTACCTATATTTATGTTTTTTTACATTTTTTTTTTGATTCCAGGTTTTGCGTGGGTTCCTGTTGTCTTTTTCCTGCTTCTAGTTAGTTTTACGCCCGTGAAGCTGTGAAAACATTTATTTATCTTCAAGTTTCTGTAAGTTAGTGTACTGTTACTTTACTAATTCACTTTAACACAGCATCTCTGATGTTATTTAAATATTTTGATATTGATACAGTAGTTTATGTGTTTATAGCTCTTTAATTGTGTTGATTTGCATATTTACATTGTTTTAAATTCCAAATAAATATTTTTGAGTAATTTTGTTGTATTATTAACTACTAGAAAGAGTAAAAAGTATATTAACCCTCATTTAAACCTCCTGAACAGCCCGCCATTAAAAACCGGAAACGGAAATAAATTTCATAAAATTGAAATTGTCATGTCTATGTCATGTCAAATGTCCCAGCCGCCATATCTGAAAATTAGTTACCCAGGCAGCCACGCTGTTTCCATAATTTAACATTGACTTGACACTTCTTCTTGTATTTATTATTTTATGATGGCGATAGCGCTGCCAGATTGTGATGGATTTATGAGATGAATCTTAATTTAAAATTGACATTCAACATATTTATTATATCATTTTTTAAAGAGTTTTATGTTTTATTTTTAACAAAATTAAAAATATAACATTGCATGAGGGTGAAATTTTGGTCACCTTTGATGTATCTTCGTTGTTCCCAAGTGTTCTAATTCCACATACTTTAGGCTACTTGAAGAAATTACTGAACGCAAATGGTCTCGACAACAAAACTGTGATTGAATATATTGAGCTTACATCGTTATGTATGAAACAAAATTGTTTTCAATTTAATAACAACTTTTTTGAACAGCGGGAAGGTACAGCAATGGGTAATCCATTGTCTCCATTTTTGGCTAATTTATTCATGAGCAGGTTTGAAGTGGAGGCTAAGAATCAGTTTGAGTATTTTCCAAGAGTATGGTTTAGGTATGTGGATGATATTTTTGCTGTTTTTGACACACATTCAGACACCATAGATAATTTTATTTCTAAGTTAAATAATCGTTTTCCTTCCATTAAATTTACGCATGAAATTGAGAACAACGACAGATTACCATTTCTAGATGTATTAGTTATTAGAAATACTAATAATTGCCTGGAATTTGATATCTATAGGAAAAATACGACCACACGCAGATATATTCCTAATGAATCACATCATAGTGTTGAACATAAAATGGCTAGTTTAAATTTCTTAGTTCATAGATTACTTAGTTTCCCACTTTCCAACGAAAGATATGAAATAGAAAGAGATTACATTAGGAATGTAGCTGAGTGTAATGGATATTCTCCTTCACTAGTTGATAAAA